AAACTGTTTAGTACATATCGACTAGATAAAGAGGCTAGAATAGTATGTATGTTGGAGAACATTGCACAATATTTTAAATATAGTAGGCATTCAAGAAATTATGCAGACCTAAGATACTAGGATATTGGTAAATAAAACATTCTCAATTTTCATAAAGACTGATAAAAATATAAACTATTCATGTTAGACTTTTCTACAACTAGTATTCATTTATTTTTGGTGAAACTATTGACAACCAAAGATACTCTATTTCAAGAATTTCTACATGTACAATGGCCTTGGCTGTATACTTAAAGTAGTACTAATCTCATAATCTTTCTCAACATATTCAAGTACCATTATCATAACCTCACTGCTCTTGAAGCTTTCCGTTCAACCATTTGAGTCGTCTGTCAATATTAATGTCACATGCAAGTTCAATATAGATATGCTTTACTCATGAAGAAACGTTTCAAAAAAATTACTTAATACTTTAAGGGATAATTTTGTTTTAAAGTTTAAGTGTTACTTAAGACCACTAGTTTTTACAACTTCATGGCTGCACAAAGTTCAAATTACATTGAGAATTTGAATTTCTGTTCCACAGGATTTGATCAGGATTCTTCTATAGAATATTTGGTCAAAACATTTATTAATCATACCTATCAAGTTCTTCTGGTCTCATGGCAGAGGAAATATTGATAATATTGATATTTGTTATTCATTCATTCATTCATTCATTTAAGAATTCATACTTAAGTGCTTTCTATATGCTGGGCATTGGTGCAAGTGTTGGGGATATAATGGTGACTGAAGACTGTTCCCTACTTTAGGAGATTATGTAAATATTTGGTTACTGATTGAAACATGGATTCTATAGAAGATACTAATAAGAAGGAGCTATCAAATTTGAGTGCCGAGAACATTTCAAATTTGGCACATTGAACACCAATGACAGAAGACCTGATGAGCTGTGGGAGGACATCAAGAACATCATTCAAAGGAAGTGGTGTTAACAAACCCAGGGACAAGGGAACAACAAGTGATACAAAATTGGTGGTGAGGAGGGTGTAAGAGGCCTGCTAGGGATCGCTCAAGGATAATGTAACCTAGAGGAATAACTGAAACCCAAATGAAGGCTGAGCATAATATTAGGACAAGAGGAAAGTAAAAGGAAATAGAGGAAAGGACTAGGAGGCAAAGGGCATTTATAGGGATCTAAATACAGGCATGTACATATGTAAATATATTTATGTATGATGGTGGGGAAATAGATTTATGTGCATATGTTTATAGGTTAAGTATTAAGGTAGCAGATGGACATTGGGTCTTGACTCAAGTACACCCTGAATGCAAGAACACTTTGTTTTATTAAACTGGAATTCCATGCTGCTCAACTTCCCGAAACGATAGCTGAAGATAAAGTGGGTGAATAAGAAAATGTGAAGAAAGCTGATGGTGCCCAGTTATCAAAAGATATAGCATCTGGGGTCTTAAAGTCTTGAAGGTAAACAAGCGGCCATCGAGCTGAGAAGCAACAAAACCCACATGTGTGATCACGAGTTGTCAAAGGGATCAGGTATTAGGCATCAAAGAACAAAAAATCATATTGTGAATGAGGGGGAGTGCAGAGTGGAGACCCAAAGGCAAATGAACGTTCCCTTACAGAAGTGTCGCAGGGAGGAGACGAGCCAGAGTGCAGTGTAGCAACGATGAAGCATACAACTTTCCTCTAGTTCTTTAAGGCTTCTTCCTCCCCACTATCATGACCCCAATTCTACCTTACAAATCTGGCTAGACTAGGGGATGTACACTGGTACAGATAAGAACTGGAAACAGGGAATCCAGGACAGAACCCTTCAGGACCAGTGGTGAGAGTGGTGATCTGGGAGGTTGGGAGAAGGAGGGGTGCAAAGGGGGAACCGATTACAAGGATCTACATATAACCCCCTCCCTGGGGGCTGGACAGCAGAAAAGTGGGTGAAGGGAGACTTAAGACAGTGTAAGACATGACAAAATAATTTATAAATTATCAAGGGTTCATGGGGGTGTGTGTGGAATGAGCTGATACCAAGGGCTCAAGTAGAAAGCAAATGTTTTGATAATGAGGGCGACAAATGTACAAATATGCTTGACACAATGTATGTGTGGATTGTGATAAGAGTTGTACGAACCCCCAATAAAATGATTTAAAAAAACAAAACATCATTATGAAGAAAGTAAAAGGTTATTAAAAAGACAGGAAAGGAAAAGATCAAAGTGAATGTCAGAATTGATTCTGAAACTTGCTCTTAATCATAGACTTGCTAAAGCAAATGGAAAAAAGGATGAAGTCAAAGAGCTGAGTAGAAAATCTCAAAGGGAAGCTCAAAAAGACAAAGCCAACTATTACAATGAACTGTACAAAGATCTAGAATTAGAAACAAAGAACTGAAAAAATTCTGGTCTACAGTTGCAGTCTTGAAAGATTCTGTGGGCAAAACATCTTGTGGGCAAAATACTGAATGGTGCAGGAAGCATCAAGAAAAGATGGAAAGAATACACAAGAGTCACTGTACTCAAAAGAACTGTTGACAGTCTACCATTTCAGAAGGTAGTATATGAGCAAGAACCAATGGTGCTGAAGGAAGAAGTTCAAGCTGCAATGTGCTTTAGCGCCTCCCCGACCCCCACCAATTCTCTAGGTATTGATGGAATACTAATTGAAATGTTTCAGCAAACTGGTGAAGCATTGGAAGCACTTACTTGTCTATGCTAGGGAATTAGGAAGACAGCTAGTTGACCAACTGACTGGAAGAGATCATATTTGTACCCGCTCCAAAGAAACGTAACCCAATAGGATGCTAACACTATAGAATACTCTAATTGATATTACACATACAAGCAAAATTTTGCTGAAAATCATCCAACAACAGTTGCAGCAGTCCATTGACAGGAACAGTCTGAAGTTCAGGGTGGATTCAGAAGAAGACACACAACAAAGCATATCTGATGTCACATGGATCTTGACTGAGTGCAGAGAATACCAGAAAGATGTTTACTTGCGTTTTATTGACTATGCAAAGGCATTTGATGGTGTGGAACATAAACTATGGATAACTTTGAGAAGAATGGGAATTCCAGAACACGTCATTGTGCTCATGAAGAGTGGGGTACATGGATCAAGAGGCAGTTAGTTGTGTGAGCTTAACCAGGGAATACTATATGGTTTAAAATTAGGAAAGGTGTCAGACAAGGGTATGACATGGTGAGGATTATACCCTTTCACCATACTTGTTCAATCTGCATGCTGAGCAATCATCTGAAAAGCTGGCTTACATGAAAATGAATGTGGCATTAGGATCGGAGGAAAACTTATTAACAACCTGCAAAATGCTACCACCTTGCTTGTGAGGAGGGCTTGAAGCACTTGCTGATGTAGATCAAGGATTGCAACCTTCAGTATGAATTGCGACACAGTGTAAAGATTAAAATCCTCACAACAGGATTAATAGGTAATATGATAAATGGAGAAAAGGCTGAAGTCAAGGATTTTGTCTTGCTTGGATCCACAATCAATGCTCATGAAACAGAATTTAAGAGGTAAAATGATGTGTTGCATTTGGTAAATCTGTTGCATAAGACCTCTTTAGAGTATTGAAAAGAAAGGATGCTACTTTGAGGACTAAGGTGTGCCTTATATGGACTCTGGATTGCCTTATATGCATGTGAAGGTTGGGTGTTGAATAAGGAAGACTGGAGAAAAGTTATAAATTTGACTTGTGGAGCTGGCTAAAATATTGGAAGTACCATGGACTGCTAAAAGGACAAACGGATCTGTCTTAGAAGTACGACCAAAGTACGCCTTAGGGGCAAGAATGGCAAGACTGTCTTACATTCTTTGGACATATTGTCAAGAGAGAACAGTGCCTGGAGAAGGACCGCAGGTTTCGTAAAGAGGAGGGGCAACAAGGGAGGAGAAGACCCTTGAGATGGATTGACCCAGTGACTTCATCAATAGCGCAAGCATAGGAGCAATTGTGAGGATGGTGCCGGGCTGTGCAGTGTTGGATGGCACCTAACAACCACAACATAATAGTTTTGGTGGTCAGAGTGAAAAATAGCTTTTCCTGGTGGAGAATAAGTATGAAGAATTACTTTTAGTAAAGTAAATTTGTTTACTTTTTGTTTTAGAAAATAACTAGACTATCATCCATTATATCCAAAATGACAGCTTTGCTAGCATTGTTATTCCTCACAATAACAATAATCGGTGATCATATTTACTTTATATTAATGAAGTTCTTGGTACCTCTGAGAGTAAGATTCTTAAAAGTATTGTTTCAAATTATGTTTCTATTTATATAATGATCACTGCTAATTTAGCTATCGTGTTAACCTGGGCAAACTAGGGAAACAAATCCACAGAAACTCATATGTGTAAGAGAGAGTTTTATATAAAGGGTAAGTGCACATCAAGAAAACATCCCAAACCAGTGCTGTCCAAGGCTGTAAGTCCAACATCAGCCCATATGTCAAACACTGATCTACAAAGTCTTCCTCCATCTCACAAAACACACACTATGAGGCCAACTGCAGGAG